TGTTTATTACCAGGAGTCTAATGTAAAACGTTGAACTACTAGTAATTAAAAAATATAACTCAGTACTCACTGCAGTGAGTGACAGAGAGTGCATTTTCTCGTCGACGAAAATTTGAGGTCACGGACGGACAGACGGACGGACAGACAGACAGACGGAAATGGCGGGCACAATAGTGCATTTTTTTCCATAACTGAGAAAATGCGCTAAAAATATTCATTGAAGATAATTGAAAAAATTTCAAAGTATTGCTTGAATGGATTGAAATATAGTGAAACAAAATTCTATTGTAAGTACAAATAAATTGAGACGAACTGGAATGAGATCAAACAACTTCAGATTTTTGATATTAGCGAGCACTTTCACGTTATGGTTCAGAATGAAACTTGGAACCATCAGTTAAAATAGCGGTACTTGTTTATCCTTTGTATTTGCTGAAAACTGGACCAATCATTGTCATCCCTACATCGGTTACGATCATGATATGTTTTAACTCGAGAATCATTGAAAATCTCAGCCAGTAAACGTAAATATTTTTAATTAATTGTAATCCAATTAGTTTCAGAGACAGCAAAATGTTCCTGTGAAATAAAAAATAAATACCATTGTAATTGATCGGAGATGCAAGGAATATGGGTCGCTTAATGCACAGAAGATGTTGATGATGACTAAGATGATGACTAAGATGATGACTAAGAAGTAAAGGTGATAAATTGACTTTGGAAGAAGCCGAGTCATTAGCGAAGATTTCTCGCTTGTGATAAAAATTAATATAATTAAAAGAATTTACCTCATCACGAATTTTTATTTGTTCATTTATAAAAGGTTGGTCTCATAGGGTCTGATGGGACTTGGGTCTCAGGTTCAGAGGCGAACCCACCTCAGACTGAGTTTCACGCCAATCACCTGACAATGACAAGATTTTGCTTTACAATATTTTCATTTCGTACGAGACGCTTCCAATAAAACTATGTCAAATGTTTTTGGTCTTATTTGCCAATGATTTTCTATTTTTAATTTAAGCAGTCAAATGATCCTAATACTTGATGTCTAACAATTCAGTATAGATGGATTTTCTGCTGATTTTGCGGTTTTCCATAATTTTTTAGAATCAATCAACACTAACTAGCTCAGGTCAATTAATTCTCTTATTCAAGCTGAAATTATTAACGCATTTTCAACAATACAGCCTTTTGTTGTCACTCTATTTAATGAGTGTAGAAAACTTTATAAACAAGCATTTAATATGCATAGCCTTATTCTTCAAAAACTTTCCTAGTTGAATAATTGACAGATTATTATGAATATCAAGTACATATGACACGAGAACGCTACTTCAAAATCCCCTCGCGTCAGTTTAGTGTCCGTTGAGAAGGTCAATGCTATAAATGAGGCTTGCGCACGACGAGAAATTGGAACTGGTTCTTGAGATTTAGTAAATTAACAGTCCTAGAAGTTATTCGATGATATACTGAACAAACAGCAGGTATCTTAGGAGCTTTTTGAAAGCATTTTGCGAAGAGCAGATGACGGCAGCGCCAAAATGTTGGCTTGGGAAAAAAACGGGAAGAATGCGCGGTTTTGTGGAATTGAGAATTAATTAATTAAAGTTTATTCTCGTACCATTCATAGTTTTCCGCAGCTTCAAGAAATTTAGGGCAATCGTTGATCCAGTACATGGCATTTGATTCGAAATTAATGTGTAATTCACGTATGTCACTGTACTCCACTTATTTTATTTTGCTCAACTGAATTTAGGCGTGAAATTTGAAAGAAATTCTTTAATTTAGGAAATAAATTCTTCCAATTAGAATTCATCTCAATAGCCTGAAATTTCTTTAGAGTAAATACTCCCCAAAAAATATAAAGAAAAAAAACCTGAACCAATTTTAAGCAAATTTTTGATGAATCAATTAATTTATAAGATGCGAGCTTAAGTGGCAGAATAAAAGAAAAGCCTCTTAGCTGATCCTACGAATCGGGACGGGGAAAGATTCGATTCAACCGAACAAAAATAATTTCGATATGCAATTTTTTAACAATTTTACTCTGGGGGAATAACTGATATGGAAACTCTAGGCTCTACGCAGCGCGCAGTAAAAATTTCAAGCGAATTGGAACGGTGGAAACGCGCAGAACATGAAACATCCATTAGGAATTCGTCTAATCTTTCCGTTTATTCTAACCAGAATTGGCTATCATTTCAGACTTTTATTCATATAGTGCCACCAGGCTGTGTCATGGGTGTCACCTTTTTCGCGTTGCATTAGAAGTTTTTATCACAAAAAAAAAATAATGAGAAAATATTCAGAATATATGTTTTGAGATTACCACGTTCTACTTTCACACGGAAAATGAAATTTTTTATATCAGCACCACAGTGTCAATATACGTACCTCGTAAGTTAAGTAGGGAGGATTTAACAATTAAAACAACTTATAATGAAAGTTGTATCACGGTTTGAAAGCAATGAGCAAGCCTAAAATAAATGTGTTTATTAATACCTTTCCATATAGGATGGAATAATATTCGAAGCGGCGCGTGAATTTGAACGTTTTCGAGTCCTTGCTGACGCGCTCATGGAAAACGAGACCGCTTGAGAACAAGGAAGCCAAGAGCGATATCATAACACATCAATAATTCAGATTCGTGGTGGGAATGGAGCTCAATATTTGTTATGCCTTCTTAATTATTCCATGAATACGCTAAGACTTTAAAGGAAATGTTGCAGCTTGAATGATTAGCTTATTGTCTACATGTGAACAAGGTTTGAGATTTGATTGCCACATTTGCCGCCATATGATCGATCTGTTGCGGCTGAAAAATATGTAAGTGGCGAAATCTGAATATTTTATCACTGTCATTCTGTATTAGCAGCGTTGAAATGAATAAATTACCAGCACGATGACCAAAAATAGTAAAAAGACTGTATATTATGACTTGATCAACATTGTTATAGTTCTATCGAAACCTTTATCAATAAGTTCCATTTAAATAGGAGACCTTGGTAACGTTCTACCGAGGTGCGTTCTGAAGCCATGGCGATATATCGTAGCATGCGCTTTATTTACGCCATTTCTGATAAAGTTTTATAAGTATTCGTTCATTTTTATAAGTATTCGCCCCAGTTCATACGGTTTGAAGCTGTCGTAGTTCATGAACTTTATGTCTAATGCATTAGCATTAGACTTTACATTTCATTAAACTTCATATTTTAGACTTTGCATTAGCATTAGACTTTATAAGGATAGATTAGATAAAGATAAAGACAAGTTAGACTATGTTTTACAGAACGGAAGAAATGTGAGCGTTTTCGGCCTCTATGACGTACGCGCATGAGTTTAAAAGTCCCATTAAGGCTAGCTGGGTGTTCAAGGACACCGTTCAAATGTTAATTTTATTGTACAGTGAGCGAGTTTGTTGTGCTGCGTTCAATGAATGTAGGGGCGCTAAAATCCATATATAATGTTAAGTGGTCCAATCGTACTTACTTGACATCAATACAATTGAATTTTGATTGAATGTCTTCTACGAAAAATCTTAATTAATTTTTACATATAATGGGATTGAGCACAGAGAATTGCAATCTACTCTTCGCTGAGTCTTTCAAAAAATGAAACGATTGAGTTTTGATTGCATACAAGAATATATTTTTTACGAATGAAAAGAATATCGCAGCCGCGAGATAAAAAATATGCAAGATAAATTTGAAAAAGAATCAAAATGTTTTTGAACAAAAAAATATCACTTTTAATGAGCCCGGGATATTCCTCTATTTATTAATACCTGTGATATGATATTAAATTTTTTAACATTATTTGTATTCATCTACAGCAAGGCTTTCAGCTTAAAAATAATAATATTTAGACTAGATTTCTACTCATAATTTTCTGCTACATTTGACAATTTCAACTCGGGGTTTGTACACTGGAATATTTGCTACCTAAAAGAAATTCAACGTTTTTAGCAAAGGTTGGCGTATATTAGCAATTTCCCAAGCCTTTCTAAGAAAAGCTGTCTCACGAATGTTCTCAAGAGGAGAACGTTGCAGTCAGCGTCTAAATAAAGGGTAGATCTTATTCAGGAAGTTTTGTGGATGTTCACTTCGTTAAAGTAGCGCCATTGAGCCTCAAACTGAGCAATCCGTCGTCACGCTGACTCATCATTTCCCGCAGCCCACGATCCGTGAAGAAAGTTTAACAACGTAAGGCTGGTGCCACAGACCTCGTACTAAGTTCACACACTACATTCTGAAGTTAGAATATGTACCGTCTTTGTTGTTTTGTAAATGAGAGTTTGAAATGGTCTGTGCACAACGCACTATACAAGGTTCACGGCACACAGGAGAAGCAATCACGTATAGTTGTAGAAAACGTTTAATCGGAATTTCTGATCGTCAAAGGACTTAAAAAAGAAAGGTTGGAAATGAACTTTAAAGCATTCAATCACCAATGTTAAGAACATTCTACTTGTGTTAAAAATATTAGCCGGGCTATAACAATCGGCTAACTTCCTCGCTTAGAAAAGCATTTGCATAGATGCGATGGTTGTAATTTGGTTTAAAAAGCTAGACTTATTATGAAAGGTTAGGTGTAAGTGCGAGCTCTTTCTTTAAAATAAGGCAGTTATAATATGCCGAATAATTTTTCAATTGCAATTTCAGATATCAATCTGAATTTCAGATATTTTTGTTCAGTGACTTAATGTAATCTGTTATAGTGAACGCCGGAAAGACTTTGAATACATCTGTGATATTTGATGTTGGATATATAGTTATGCACAAGTAATAAGGAAGTTAAATAAACAACAATAAATAAATAAATTTAAATAAACACAAGTTAAAAAAGGAAAAAATTGATTAATTTGCCCACTAGAATTATAATGGAAAAAAATGCTACGAAAATAAAAATATTTTCAATATGATTCACGCAATGAACCCTGCTGCAAGTTTGCTTAAATCAGTTGACCTTATTTAATTCAACTAAATTAATTCAGTTGAAGCATGGCTTCAAGTCGCTTTACAAACGAACGGACTAAGTGCCTGAAGCTTCACTGCGTTGTGCTGCTGTCTTCTGTCGCGGTGTACCTGAACGGCCTCTTCGGCGACTACGTTCACGACGACATCAGTGTTATCGTCCAGAACAGGGACGTGCAAGGGACAACGCCACTTATGCACGTCTTTGTCAACGACTACTGGGGACGGAGGCTCGATCATCCGCTGTCGCACAAAAGCTATCGTCCCCTCGTCATCCTTAGTTTCAGGTGGGTCCCGTAATCTTCCTAAGTTTTATACGCGTGTCGGCAAGAATTCAATTGTGTTTTGCCTAGGTTGACGAAGTACGCTGCATTCAGCCACTGCTAAGGATGGTATAAGTAAATTATAGCAAATTTGGCTGGACAGTTTCTTCTTGTATAACTCAAAGCTTTCGGTAAGGCTTTCTTGAAAGCTTTTGATTGATCCGCTTTTGAATTGGATTGAACATGCTGCTTGAATGTCACGACGAAAACCGCTTCACTTTATACAGAAAAAAGGCCGTCGTTGTTTTCATAGTTTGCTAGTTTCCTGTTGTCAATTGGTAAATGCTATGTGCATTTATCAGTTGATGTGAACGGAAAATGGTTGACAACGCCATCAGGTATCTCCGATCACCAGCTTCGTTACATCCTCTACTCATCGCTCTTTTTGGCCCAAAATCTAAAATAGGAAAAATCTCAATCAGGTAGAAGTTTAACTGTTATTGATTGCATACCATCCTTCATTGTATGAGGTGATAAATTCTAACGTTTTAGGCTCAGAATTCTGAAAATATAGAGTAAGATAACTAAGTATAACTCAAATATGGCATGAGTATTTATGGTATGCTAGCTTGTTCATTGGGATGCCAAGCGCTCACTGGGTATATCGCCTCATAGCTTGTCCGCCTGACTCAGCAGTTTAAAAGTTTCGAGCTTCGACCAGCAGCTTTATCTCAAGTTTACCATGGAAGCGTACGAATCCACCAGGGTGCTTGTAAATCGCTCTATAATCATTCTGGATCCTGATGAGAACTGTTTTGTCCCCATGTTTGTTCCCCCTTTTGAGAACCTTGCATCAAATTATCAACGAAATTATATAATTAAAAAAAATCACAAATCAGGCAATAAAAAGTAATGAAACAGAACATGACCTCTGGTTTAATCGTGAGGCTCAAATTGTTCACTCAAGTGGCATCAGCTATTACATAGTAAATTAAAAACACATGAAAATAAAATGCAGAATGCGTAAACTATTAAGTACGTTTGTGCACAATAATAATTCTTGAAATAAAACACTAGAAGTTATGCTATTAACTTTGAAATCTTGCCGAATTTAATACTCTTTGTCCTGAAGTACAGCATATGTAATGAATATTTCATGTCATCCTCAGTTGCTGCAATTAGAGGTTCTAGGGAATGATTTATATTTGCTAAGAAAATTTAGCATTACATTAGACTTTGTAAACAATGAGTGATCGAGGTACAGGTACATTTTCGAGATCGAGGAGAACAACAAGTACTTCAATATAACTGCACTATTTTTTGCTCAATAACTCATAGATCCTAAATTCATTTCTTTATTTCTTTCCATTAATACTTTTCAGCGCTGACTTGAATTTTACCCTGTAAACGAATGAATATTAAATAGTTGTTATCACGAGACATGAATATTTCTGGAAATTTCCAACATTTCAATGTTTACTTTGAATTGTAATTCTCGGTTTAAACCTTGATTTTAAAAAGTTCAAAATTTATGCAGTGAAAAATTGCGAGCGGCTCTCTTAACAAATTGCTTATTCATTGAACTCTGCGGAGTTCCGATCGACATATGAAATGGATATCAAAAAATATTCCGCTGTCGAACCCTACGCTCCAAACTATACAAAATGTACAATATTTCGACTCGTACGAGTCGGTTTCCCTCGATAAATTTTCGAAAACATGGCAATGCAGGAGAATGTCAGAGTTACTGTCAGCCGCTGCAGGCGTAGCTTTTGAAATAAAACTTTTGCAAGGAGTTTGTTTTGAGTTTTGGGACAATAGTTTGACAGAGATATGTGGGTTATAATTTCCACTAGACATGCAATGCAATCAAATCGTATAAATGCTCCATACGTTCGTAAATGAAGGAATGAAAATGATGTAAAATTAAATAAAAATGATGTAAATAAATTCCTTTTGTTGAAAGTGATGTAATCTATATGAATTGAACGAAACTAACCCTACTAAATTTATTGCTTCCCATATCATCCTTTCCTAGTTAGGACGAAATTAGATGCCTGTCTCATGCACGTATCATTTGTTGCTTCATTCATTCACGAAAAGATTAAACTATTAAAGAGTATAAACTTTATTGTATTATTTTTCGACTTATATTATTCACTTTTCTAGTAGACATTGATAACTTCATCGTTTTCTTCAATAAACATAAATCTTCTTCTCGAATATACATCAATCATATCTTCTTGAAAGGGCATGGATCATTTCATCACTTTCTTAAAAAAGCATAAACGATTCAACTTTTTACCACACATAGACATCATTAATTTCAGCGTTTTATAGATAAACATACATAAATTCTTCTTATCTTAAATATTCACCAATCATCAATAGACATACAGAATTGCTGATTCACATAACCTTTGAGCACCGCTATTTGGACATCTCTGTGCCATCAGATCGAAGATTCGTTGACCCAAAAAGGAAGTTTTAGCTGTAAAAATGCTGTCGAAGTCTGGGGAAATAAGTAACATTCGATTAGATCGAAGCTTTTTTAACTCGAAAGCAGAATAATAGCTATAAAAATGCTGTCGAGGTCAGGGTAAATAAGAGCAATGTAGCATTTTAACTATTTAGATTGTCATACCAATACAGTAAATGAAATCTAGCATTAATTGCTACTCAGGCTGGAGCGATGGCTGTTGGGACGGAGTGAGCCTAGACTGTCCCACGCTGTCAACTTGCTGCTGCACTGCGCGGTGGTCTGTCTTTACACCCACGTGCTGCTCAGGGTGCTGATGCTGCCCTCTACTGCCGTGCTGCTCAGTGCGCTGCTGTTTTCTGTGCATCCCGTGCACACCGAGGCCGTGAGTCAAGCACTAATTTATGTTTGCGATAGAACTTAATTATATTCCTTTACATTCTCAATACATATTTCTTTACATTATCAATTCATATTTCTTTACATTCTCAATACATATTTCTTTACATTCTCAATTTGAATAGAAAGTTTTTGTATTGAATATCAACTGATTGCCCTGCAACGAATTCGTCGCATAGACAAAATTTCAGAAAATTTTAAATTTTGTTGTTGCTCTCGACGAAAAATATTAATATTCGCCAGTTGATATGATAATGATATTAATCATTCACGAATACGATCATCAATGTGAATTCATTCACTTTGATGATCATTATCGATTAATTAAGCATTTGTAAAAAATTACCCGTAAGACTATCCCGATTTATATTATATTGAAGATTTTTGCTTTTTACATTAATGCATTGATATTAAATCCATGATTCTCATTGTAATGTTCTCTAAAATAATTTGATTTTTCTAAACAAAATTTGCATCTTTTACTTTTGAAAGTCAGTGCATAATAATTCTTCGCGATTGTGAGGAATGTTTTTCAAATTTGTTGCTTCGACAGGTTTGAAAGCACGACAAAAGTTTGCATCATAAAAACAAGCTAAAGATAAAGACTTCCATTAAAATAATTTAGCTTATTAATAACATCCCATAGCACAATGTAATTACCCGTTGCTGCCAAGATATAATTAACGTCAAACTTTATTTTGGATGCAGGCTTTATTGCGAGACTTTTGAAGATTCTTAAAGCAAAAACCTCTCTCAGCGAAAGGGCGGTTGTGAACTGGTGCTCATGCATTGATTCCAACTTATGCTGTGCATTACATGCACTTAGACACCGCATCCGCGTTAATTTAACACACTCACAGTGTCTACATGGCCAAGCAACTATGATCCTAAGAGCCATGGAACAAAATTTAGCGCCTCGGCGCTCATTTGCAACTCGATGCTCTGAAAAACGAAACACCCAAATGATTTATATTCTGAATTGATTATTTACTCCTGACTTCAATAAGGGTGGCGAGTCTCCGATATCCGGAGGCTATCAGATATTCTCTTGCTTAAAAACTCTCCTGATGATTCAATACTTGTGCATATCTTTTGGAAAATTGCTTTTCTCCTGCAGAACTATGGCCTAAAAACACTGCATATTTATACTGCAGCCAGTTTCAGATTTATGGCTACGTACGACGCCTAATTAACCGTGCAAAAACTTTAATTTTATTGACTGGAACTTTTTTGTTGATAGTTTTTGCAGTTATATGAAACCGTCGACAGCTTAATGAGCTTTATTCGCTTGCTGGATACCACCATTCACAAATTAATTGAAAAATGTCCGTAGCCAAAATATGCTGAGTGTATCCCACTTACCAATTAACTGAAGAAAAATAATAGTTCTCCAACCATTTGAATACGTTACTTTTTTCAATACTTCCCTTTAATTTCACTTCTTGCTGTTTGTTTGTTTGCCTGCTACAAATCTTATAATCGATATTTAACACACTTATTTATACCTATCTAATCAATCGGAAATTTTGCACCCTTGCGGAAAGTCACAGACAATACTTAAATCAATTGACAGAATAAATAATTTCGAGAATTTAATTTATTTTGAATAAATAAAATAATTATTTTAGGTATTTAAAAATAATATGAAAAAAGTAATTGTATATGTGTAACATCGGAGACGCTGGCCTCTTTAGAACTAGAAGTTTTGTCTTTAAAAAGTAATTTTTAAACCGCATATTATTAATATTTTCATTGTAACATTGGGTTCAGGTGACCGGCGTGGTAGGTCGGGCAGACGTCGCTGCAGCCTTCGCGTTCCTCGCCTGCTTCTTGGCCTATCACAAGTACGTGTTCACTTTTGAAATTATTCTATTTCAGCAGTCAAGATCTTTATTATTATTTAATGCTCTAAGCACTCTATTAATTACGTCTTGTTTATATCAGTGCTCGAAATGATTTCAATTGTATTCACTTAAATCGTTCATTTTTTATTGAGGAGAGTTGTGTTACTTATTTGAGATTCCGAATTGAACCTTCCATTTTGGCATCATAATTAAAATTACATATTAGATATATTACGTATTTCAATTTACAGAAACTGATAGTATTTATAGAAACTAATAGACTTATCAATGTATAGAAACTATAGAGACAAAAAAATATAACTCAGTACTCACAGCAGTGAATGACAGAGAGCGCATTTTATCGTCGACGAAAACTTGAGGTCACGGATGGACGGACAGACGGACAGACAGACGGACATGGCGAGCACAATAGTGAATTTTTTCCATAAATGAGAAAATGCGCTAAAAAGGATTAAACGTTAGCGTCTGATCGTAGTTTCAGGATTCAAATTTGAAGTTGATGCTGTAAAATTCACACGATGAATGGTGATGCATGTTCAGCGATAAATTGCAAATTTCCGTGTTGGTTGAACAGGGCTATCGAGAGACACAAGCGCTTCTGCGATCGCGCTGCAGGTGAAGCGGAAAACCGCATCACTCCGCCGTCGAGTCTACGGGAATCGAAATATTTAGATGACCTGCTTCAGAGAAGAGAGGCAGGAAATTACAGCGCATCCGTAAACTATGCTAGCATCAAGAAGCCTATCAAGAACAATACAAAATTTAAAATGACGAGGAAACAGGGAAGCACGGCTTGCGTTCTCAAAGGATCAGAAAATAATGCCGAGAGAAAGATTGTCGAGCATAAAATGAGATTCCAGTCAATTTGGGGCCTTAAAAATATTTCAGGCATGCTCTGGAGTGTTCTTGCGTATTCCCATGGAACACGCTGGAATAAAACACGCGCTTTGCCATCGTTAAAAATTAACTCTGATCCCATCAATGAAATAAGCCATATTAATTCTGGACCTAAGTGCTTCGCAAATAAATTGAAATCACGTCTGCCTTATCGTTGTCGTTCACTGAGTTGCCAACTGTGTCGACATCCACCCTCTTCAGCCTCTGATCGTCAGCCTAGACAAGCCTCTCTCATGTGGAGCTACTTCTGGGCCGTCCTCGGCGTGCTGTGTAAAGAGCAGGCCATCACGGCGCTCGCTGTCTGCATTGTCTGGGATGTTTGCCTCACCTACAGACGATTACTTGGGTATGATATCATCTACGTTTGCAAGCATTCAGGTATATTTTTTTGTTTTAAATTGAATACTTGCCAGGAACAACTTTGTTCACGTTCGCCTATTTCGTGTAGGGAAATTTTTAAATTTTTCAACAATTTTTAAAAATATAGCCTACAGACGATTACTTGGGTATGATAATATCTACGTTTGCAAGCATTCAAGCATATTTTTTGTATATAATTGAATACTTGCCAGGAACAACTTTGTTCGCGTTCGCCTATTTCGTGTAGGGAAATGTTATAATTTTTCAACAATTTTTAAAACTACAGCCTACAGACGATCGCTTGGGTATGATATTATCTACGTTTGCAAGCATTCAGGTATACTTTTTGTATTAAATTGAATACTTGCCAGGAACAACTTTGTTCGAATTCGCATATTTCGTTTAGGGAAAATTTTTTATTTTTTCAACAATTTAAAAAAATACTGATGATTCGAGAAATTTTTTAAAGCGAGATGAATTCTGGTAAAGCTGTTAGTCTCACTTAAGTTTGATTTATTTTATAAGCAACTTTTTTGAAAAGATTTGAATGTTAACTATAAGAAGCAGATCTGTCTCACAGTTTATGTTTCAATATTGTCAGATAATATTACTTTGTGTTCGTTTAACCAACAGTACATAACTGTTACTTTTCCAGTGGCTGTCAATTTATCGAATACTGTCAGCCAAAATTTCAGAGCGTAATGCATCGTACTCAAATTTAACTAATTCTGTTCTGAACTATGACATTTCTTTAAACAATCACAATAATATTTATTGATTAATCAAGTTTTCACTTCATTTTCTGTCGTGTGATCACAGTGCGGGCGATGAAATCCTTCCTGATCCCGATTCAGGATTTCATCGATCCCCAGCTAATCGATTAAATCCTTCCCGATCCCGATTCAGGATTTCATAGATCCCCAGCTAATCGATTAAATCCTTCCCGATCCCGATTCAGGATTTCATCGATCTCAAGCTAATCGATGAAATCCTTCCTGATCCCGATTCAGGACTTCATCGATCCCCAGCTAATCGATGAAATCCTTCCCGATCCCACTTCCTTCCCGATCAGCTGGGACAAATTTTGCCGGATGTTGTAGAGATTTGAGTTTGAATCTAATAGTCGATGCGCTTACTCCAACAGAGGGAGAGTTTTGGACGAGATTCGAGCATTGCTAGTGAGAACAACCCAGACTTTTCTATTGGTAACTATAAAATAGTGTTTAAATTTAACAGTAGCGTTTCAGGAAACATTATATGTTATCAATATTGCTGAGTTGAATGCATGCATTTTTAACTATGAATAAAGTAATGAAAGGAAAGCAAATTCACAAATTCCTAAGTGAATAATATTCTAATATTCCTCTATAATGTTAATATATATTATTCTCACTATTCCTCTGCCTGCGGTTACATAAAAATATTTTATAATTGCCAGCTCAGAGATAGCTGTCATGAAAGTATTATCCACATTAAATACCAGTTCTATGCTAAGTCGCGAATGGTTCTTTGTCATCGAGATTTGTATATTAAAAAATAAATCGAAAACAATTGCTGAACGAACAAATGATGACGATGAGGGAACTTTTGTTTCAGAATCATTTCACGAACGACAAATAATATATGATTATTTTGTTCCCCCCAACGGGGTACCGGCGTGGTGGTGATACGAGTGACGATGATGGGCTCCCGCCCCCTCTTCTCAGAGCAGGACAACCCTGCCTCCTTCAGCACCAGCGCCACCACCAGGTACTGCTCACTCCAGGTACTGCTCACTCCAGGTACTCCTCACTCCAGGTACTGCTCACTCCAGGTACTCCTCACTCCAGGTACTGCTCACATGGACGTACCTGTTCCTGGTAGCCCAGAACTGCTGGCTGTTGCTGTGCCCGTCATCGCTGTCGTGTGACTGGCAGCTCGGCTCCGTGCCGCTCCTGCGACACCCGTGGAGTGATGCCCGAGTGCTGGCCTCGCTGGCACTCGGAGTCGTGCTGCTGCTGCTGCTCAAGCGAGCCATACAAGATCTCGTGAGAATTATCTTGATAATATTAACAATGGCTTTCATTTATGTTGTTATTATCTCTATGAACACATTTTTTTAATTAGACTTTTAGCTAAAAATTTATTACAATTCTTTGCAATAGATTCAGTGTATTTTTGTTCCAAAAAGTCACTGCAATTTCCTCAACGCATTCCAGAGATAAATTCGTTTCTTAAGATGGATTTTAGTTATAGGAAATGCCGGTCAATATACAGATGATGAATTAAAAAGTAAGCGAAATTAATGCCTTTCTATATTAAAAATATTTAAATACACATAAATTATTCAAGTTGTCCTACAGTTTCGTTAAATCTTTTTATAAAATAGTTTTCTCCTAAGCGTGTAGATTATTTAGCGTCAAAGATTGCATCATCGAAATTGTGATGTAAATTAGGCAAAGAATTTCTAATTTCATAACAATTATCGTTTGTTAAGCTCCTTCATTTTAATCCTAGATGACAATTTGTTTCGTTGCTCGTTATCACTGGTTCTTCCAAGCATTCCTCCAGTGAATTACAAGTTGGTGGGCCGATTTGCAGCGATCTAACGAGCCATTGCCCCAAAAACGATAGGTTGCTACGCATTTTTAGCGCATTTTCTCATTTATGGAAAAAATACACTATTGTGCTCGCCATGTCCGTCTGTCTGTCCGTCCGTGACTTCACGTTTTCGTCGACGAGAAAATGCGCTCTCTGTCACTCACTACAGTGAGTACTGAGTTATATTTTTTAACGCATTACGGAGAGGGTTCTACGCATTTGCAATCCGTATAGTGTACTGAACCTATGAATAATTTTTAACGCCGGTGCAACATTTTGTTCGCAGTGTACAGAGGAAGGTCGAGCTCTACTGTGGTCGCTGGCTGTGATGCTGTGTAGTTTTCTGCCAGCCTCAAATCTATTCTTCCCCGTAGGCTTCGTGCTAGCGGAGCGCCTTCTTTATATTCCGAGGTGAGTTTTGGCTGGTGCCACGTAAAGAGATATTATGATTGTTTGTAGTTTTCATTACAATACAAAAGTTGCATGTAAACTTTTTAGCAGTAACTGGCAGCCTAACGTCTGTTGACTTTTTGTTGATATTGAACGAGAAGTCTTTTCATATTATAAAACATTTGCGTTGTTTGCAATTTTCATTACAATACAAAAGTTGCACGTGAACTTTTTAGCAGTAACTGGCAGCCTAACGTCCATTGACGTTTTGTTGATATTGAACGAGAAGTCATTTCATATTATACAACAATAGCGCAACACATGACTTGTGCATTGATAAAATAAAATTAATGAGATCAGTTAACTGTGCACTCGAATTTTGCGGATTTTCGTCCATTACTCACGAATAAGATGAGGCAAGAGTAGAAGCATTCCGGGTAACTGTTAGTTAACACACGAAACAATAAGGCATAGCAACTTATCAATTGGGTGAAGAATGGTAATGTCAATTCATTCCTCGCGAAATTATTAGAATATCCATTGTCTATTTTTACGAGCAGCAACATGGTAAATAAACTGGTGAATTTTCGGACACTCTTCAATGTAAAAAAATATATTAATCGTATAAAAATCATTACTCGTCCATCAACAACCAAATATTGACGCATGTGTACAGTGTACTCATGAAGAGAAATAAAACAATCGAACGAAAAATATATACTTTATAATGTAAACTATCAGCGACTGTGAAATCCATTGATGAAAATTTGGCGGCATTTGTGAAAATTAAAGAACGTGAAGCTCTCTTCGAACATTCAGAACCGCTAGACGATAACATCGTGAGCCACGATTCTGGCTCGATGTTTGGACGGCGCAGGTAAGGGATTTAGCGTGGATCGCTCCCGCGAATTAATATCCACGAATGTAAGCTTGCACTCTGCGGGGCCGTTACTCTGGACGTCGTCGCAACCACAGGTTACCGTTTATCTCGAGCTCCACATGCAGATTGAACGGACCAAGTGGACAAGCAAACAATTTCCTCTAGGGAAATCGTGAGTGTGCATTCGCGAGTAAATCTCTGGCCACCAATGAGACCCTGAAGCTTTTTCTTAGGGTCCTCTTTGCTCTTTCCTAATGTTCAAGGCGGTGTTTTTCGTCCTCTGTTCGAAGAATGAGGGTTGCTCACAAAATTAATAATTCTGCAGAATTGCAGCCCGACAAAACAATAGCCAAAGTATCTCATATGCGCAAGCTAAGCTCCAATTAATATGGAATGCACTGAACCGTTAGGTCTCTGCATAGCCACATTTAATGTTAAATTTTAGAGGCATCTCACAATTAGAAGTTGCATAGAACCGACAAGCAATTATTCAAATGTTTAAATAGCTTTATTAAAGCTAGTAAGTTCGGGTAAATTTATAGAAGCTCCATAGTTTTCCGACGTTAATCCGAGTGAACAAATGACGAATTGAAATACACCTAATGATGCAGACATGGTAAGTTTTAATGTCCTTCAAAATAAGGCTTCTCTATGTTCCTAAATTAATATTTTCCATATATTGTGTACTTGTGTGTGTGACGCTCTCAGTTTCTGCGCTCACAGCGTCCTATGGGTATCTAAAATATACCATCGAATGATTCGCTCCGTAATTGAATTTTAGACCTTGCCTGCTCGTATCGTGGATACCATCATATTCCATTTGTACCTCCGCCGTTGCGTTCAATACTCGAATACATTTTATTCAATACTGCTCGTACTATGAAGTTTAATTTTGCCTTAAATCTTACAATTTTCAGTCCGTATGTCCCACATTTGAAACACATACCAAAACTACCAGGATAACGCAGGGTTTTTGGGTGGTTGTTATAATGCAGTAACCTGCGGTTATGTGAGCTGCAAATGCTATCTAATCTCTTTTAGATTATAGTCGTGGATTGGATGTAGAACCGGTTTGACACCTGTGTGGTGTGTTGGTAGAGGACCTATGTTATTACTTTTTTTGTTGGATGCTTTATGCATGTAAGGTAATCAGCTAGTATTTATGTAAATGATGGGTGGAGGTTGAGTAGACTGACTTTGTTTTTTGGTTCGGTATTACAAACCAAACTGTTGGTCTTTGTCACATCGTGTAGTACTATGTCTGTAGGGTGTCGTTATGTAAGATGTATGACGAGTATTTCGTAGAATGTGGCTAATGCTGTGTTTTCCTCTTCGTTTCCTAAAACCGTGTTTTCTAACGATGTGTATGCTCTGAGTGGTGAGAGGTGTTCGAATAATCTGTTTAAAATTTTATCAAAAAGCCGTCCGTGTATCTCTAGTTGTGAAATGGGGTCAATAGTTTTGGACTTGTGTTGTGCTCATTACACCAGCATGGCTGAATGACAGTAGCACTGGCATTGGACAGTGGCACATGCAAGCGGCGCTGGCGCTAGCTATTGAAGTTGGGCGGCAAGCACTACTGCGTCTAGCGTAATCTGAGGCACAACCGTTGACTACAAATTTAACTTTTAAACTGGTCCTATAGAGCCAAAGTTAGCCTAAACATGCACAGCTACACTTTACCACTGAGCTACTCGGGGCCGTAGGCCACGCAGAAATACCGTAAGCTACTTCAGTCTCGTACTGCTTGCATCCACGTGCATCATAGCGTCGAAATTCCACAGCCACTACTCGAAACCAGCCGATCATGGCCCTAAATCCGCACTTGCCTCGACCTCGACCGCACTTGCCTACCTTGCTGAAGCTAATGACCGGCTCAACCTCCTCACTTGCCTCACCTCCCCACCTTACTGCAGCCTAATAGGTTATATTTGTCCCGATTAGGATTGCATGAGTTGAATGTTGGGGTGAGTGCGGAGGTAAGGCTACGCTGGGCTTGCTCATCCATGAAGACGAGACTGACTTGAGATGTGGCTGTGGACTATGACTCAAAGCTGTTAACTTCATAGACCACTTTGCTTTCTAGAGTACTTGGTTATGAATAGGGATATGAACTATAGTGTGAAGTTGAGACCTGCTGGCTTCCAGCACGCACCCCATATAGTCGACATAGAGCGCTAGCAACAGAACAAACGACGCTAAGTAATGAAAGTGTAGTTAAGAAATGGTCAAGTTTTTGTGACTGTTGTGCTCTAATTGCAGAGTTATCTCGTATGTTCTATTATTAAAAATTAAAAATGGCACTGTACTCACATTGTGCTAAGAAGAAGCTGCATGAAGCATCATGTAATAAATTACGCTTTGTGTTGAACACGAGTGCTTACACGGATCGTTGTTGTCACGCTTAGTGCTGCACACGAGTGAACACACACATTGTACGACAATAATTTTCTGTAAGACTGTAGACAAACAGAGTTATGTACGTAAATATTGTCTACTCAATAATAGGGTGGTTATTGTTTAGACCGTCGAAAAGAATATGAAGTATGTTCAATCATATGGATGGATAATAGATACACTACATTTCCAGTATCGGAGAGCAGAGCAGATGATGCTGTCGCATTTTCACTTAGCTTGTGAAACGCGTTTCATAAGCGTTCACGGATCGGTGAGACCTGCGTGCAAGAACCAGCAGCGTGAGTACGTGGAATGCTCAGATCGAGTTGGAATTACGCACCTGAAGCGTTAATGATACACGCGAGCAACGCCCATCGACATGGACCACGACTGAGCATGAACACTTGCACAACGTGATCAATCTTTAAACGGCTGATTCATGTTGGTCTTTGATTCATTGATTCCAAATTTTGTGTATAAACTAAAAGGATTTGAAAATTGTACAACAATTTCCATCTCATATTGTATAATATGAGATGGAAATTGCATATCTACTCGTATAATATTGTGGTATTTTTAGAGGGAGTTGAATTACTAACCCTATCAAAATTTGGATGCCTGTCAGCCGCTGGCTCAGGGTCGCCCCAAATTCATTTTACGGTGTAAATTAGAAGCTCTATGTCCGCTTTAGGTTCCGGTTGCCGGAGCGAAATAAGCGCCGAAAGAGAATCTTTTGAAATACCCGTCGAGCTTGGGGCGATCGTGGGGCGCACGTGTTGTAGATAACGCAACGCAAGCATGTCTACGTACACGCAATGCAAGAGTGTTGAAACGCTAGCGTGTTGATAAGTTCGTACCCATGCACAATGCACATGCAGCGCCATGCACAACTAATGGCAGGGGGCTAGTAACGCTCGCGCTATAAGAACTCAGGCCAGCTACTGAGCAGGGTAAGCCAATGGTGGCCTGGCCAGCCGCTAATTTCGTGTGTCATTTGACCCTTATATTTTTTCCCATGAAACTACCCAAAATAGCTCCTACTGGGCGGCTAATTATGAGATGCGGCCATTTCACATCTGAATCATCTCTAATCCGAGACTGACAACCGAAACCAGACCGTCTGCCGCGGCTAAATTTTGACAGGGAAGTACTTCTATATTGCTCGAATCACTATTTGTATCCAGAATGAATTTGAAACAAGTTTATCTATATGACCGAAAGGTGAGTTTGTCTAGGTTTCTAAAAATTCCTTGATTTGAGTGATGCATACTTTTTATTACAACACTTCTCTTTAACTTCACTTCTTGTTTGTCTGTCTGTCTGCTACAAATCTTATAATCAAAATTTAACACACTTTTATTTATCCTATCGATCTGAAATTTTGTATACATGCGTAAAGTTGGAGACAATGCATGAATCAAATGATGAAATAAATTATTTTAAGAATTAATTTTTTCAATATTAACATAATTGAAAAAATAATTTTGTCAGCTACAAATCTTATAACTGATATTTGACACACTTTTATTTGTCCAATTTATCTGAAAATTTGCACACTTGTATGAAGTCGGAAGCAATGCATGAATCAATTAACAGAATAAATAATTTTGAAAAAATTTATACATTAAAAAAATTTGAGAATTTTTTTTTTATATTCAAAAATAAAATGAGAAATTCATTGTACATCTGTAACATTGGAGACACTGGATTCTTTAGAAGTGTTGTCTTAAAAAATTAATTTTTAAACATATGTTATTAATACGGTTTGTTGGTTTGAAAATAGTCCCTTATGAAATCTAAATTAACTTAAAGAGGAGTGTATAATAAATCTCATGTAATAAGATTGTAGTGGAATTTCTCAGTTAATTCACTATAAATATAACCAGATCTATTCTGATATGGCTTGGAATTCCTATGCAGTTGGAATTTGCACACGAGGAAGTAAAATTTAGAATGCTGTTTGTCCAAGTTATTTCTTTCAAGCACTTCTTCAGGGGCATTTGAAAGAGTTGGTGAACGTTGCGCTGAATATTAATTAAGTGGACATGGAAATACTGACTTGAAGTCAAATTCTGTCAACGTCTGAGCTAGTTTAACTTTTAAAACAATTTAGATCTTTAAATGACGATCAAAAATATTCAAAATAGTTGAATTATATTGAAATAATAATTTACTTGATCAAAATTTTTTACTGTTTGATTTAATTATTCACGGTGAAAGAGTGTAGCGTACATGAATTTAGCTCCATTCGTATTGAGCTTACTTCGAGATATCTCATGGAACTACAAGAAATGAAACATTAACATTAATAAAATACGCCATAAAACGTACTATTTTGCCAAAAGAACGCTAATCTCATTTGCGAGACAGAATAACAAATCCTATTATAGTTTCCGAACCATTTCACTTCTAAATTCAATTTAATATCTTTCGTTTCCGTATGACTGACCTCTTGTTCAAAAAAAAAAATTATTTTCTGTGCATCCATATATTAATACGCTGCATCCTATCCATTGCCCATAGGAAATGAATCATCGACAAGACCGAATTAGGGGCATGCGAACAATTATAGCTATTTTAAAATTTTTAAGCAATTTGAGGAAATTTTATAATGTTAGGTGTTGAGTGAAAAACAATAGGATGACTTCACCTGAACCGGAATTTTTATTTTCGTTGCGAATTGTCAAAAATTTTTTGTTGTACGTGGCAGAATGTTCAATTATTCATCAGTGGGGAGAAAACACCAGAATTAAATCTCCTTAATTCGACGGTCACCGAAAAGAATTGTTGAAAAGATATATGACGGATCGAAGCTTCGTAGACACGATTCTACACTGAGATTTTCCGAACAATACTACGTAGTCAGCGAAAAATCGGGCACATATATTATTTTGTGGCAATAAATCTTGCTTGGGCTGACACCGGACAGGCGTAGCACAAGTGATAGTCAGCATGGCTTCTCTCGCATATAGTATAGGGCTTGAGGCAGTTTTTGATTGAATGCTATAACATAAGTCCAGACCTACTTTGGGAAGCAAACAGTACTTCAAACATTCAAAATAAGACAATTGTGAAATCAGGTGGAGAATTTATTGACGGATTTTTAGACCATTATTTATCTCCCAAGGTTCACTGATAGGACTAACATACCGCCGGTGAAGACAAAATGCACTTATAAATTATCTAAATATTTATAAATTGAAGTACAGGGAAAAAGGGTATTTCTATTATATACGCTTTCCTAAAAATAAGGTACTTAATGAATGAAGTTTAGTGGAAATTCTCAGAGTTTGAGTGGAATTTGAGTCCTTTGAAAAATGGACTACTTCATTAAAATTATAGCTGAAGTGTTCCGGATGAAGATTTCTCGCAAAGCCCATTTCTAACTGATGCGTTGATTTAAGGTTGATGAATGGCCGATGATGTTTCACTGAATACGACAGTTAAAATTAATTTAAATGATTTAAAACATTTCATTTTCCTCTCATAATCACCTTATACTATTCGACATTTTTGCACGTAATGTGTGCGCTTTCTTTACGAACGAATAAAACTCATATAATATAATATATTGTAGTTAATATATTCATAACTCGAAAGCTGATTTAAGAAAGTATTGTTTGAAGCGGCAAGTTCAATTGCATCTCATCTTTCGGCTCTGACCTAAAAATTATTTTAGTTTTTTGGAAGCACAGAAATTATTTTATAGAACGCTTCATATTTTTCCGTGAGTTTTGTATTCTATCCGCAAAAAATTATTTTCCCACCAAAATTTCAGTGTGGCGCAAGACTACACTGAGAGCTATAGACTCATATATAATAGGCTACCAGTTCATTTGAAATAACTGGCAAGTGACTTTATTGAAAAATTTTCTGAATCGCCTGATTTTGAAACCTTTTTAGTATTACATTTAAGAACACCTTTGAAATTGACGTTGGTGTATTTTTACTGCCTCGTATATTCTCGTTTAATTATGTAAACTTTTTAGGTGAATAAATATTTGTCCAGTTATTTTAATAACTTATTAGGAAACATGTTTATATAAAGATTATTATTCACATTTGAATGTTTTGAATATATTTCAGATAGACATGAAGTATCCCCAATGACTAAAAACTTATTTCTTTCGTTTCAGCTTGGGTTATTGTACGATTGTCGGCATGGGTATGACCCGCCTGCTATTCTACGGGCGGCCTTCGGACGGAAAGAAAAATGGCCAAACATTTGAGGTGCACAAAAGGACCGGAGGAAAATTACCAGCGAGCCGTTTGTGTACCTCCAGTGGCGGTGCAAAAGATCTGGCAACAGAAGAGGGCAGTGGAAACAATGGCAAGTCACGGAGCTGTTTAAACAACGGTCTATGGCGGCCCTTAAGTATAAGGCATTGCACAGAGAAGAAAATATGCTTATGTGGTCTCAAGCAGAACTCAAACACAACGATAAGAGTTTGCGAAGAAACTCTGGACAAAACCACCGAAAAACCATTATCGAGGCTTTCATTGTTAGAAAAATACGCATTCAGAGATTCGTCCGGATATTCATCGGCTCATTCATCCTGCGGAAGTACTAACAATCATTCACCAATATCTTCGCCTTATTCGTCCCCTTTAGAAGCCTCTACAAGACCGCCTGCTGTCGTGTGTCATCAAATAACAAAGACATTACTTGATGGTACTCACTCGCGCATTGCAAATCTTGAAACTTCTCATCTAAGCAATAATTTTTCCGCTTCACAAGTCGCGGCCTCCAACATCTCCCAGTCTTTGTCAGCCTACTTGAAGGAAGCTTTGAGGAAGAACGACGGAAAATTTGGTTCATCAGTTAATGGGGTTCGTAATTGGAAAAATTTATCTGACATTGGAAATAAAACTAAATATCATGAAGAACCTAACAAAAATTTTGGAGAAACTAGCACTTACTACGCACTAACGTCAATGTCTGATAGAGCCAGCTACCAGCTGCGAATGGATTCGTCTACCAAGAAGAGCTTCGCAGTGTCATCGCACGACGGCGATTCGAATCTTTCATCGAAAAGAAGCCATCAATGTTTAGCATACGATACAAATTTTAGAGAACGACAATGCAAGCAGCTTTGTAGCAAAACAAAGAAGCAACGTTTAGGGAATGTAGTATACAAAGAGTTTTCGTGTAGAAATGAGGCCTTGAATCATACGAAGCACATCTGCAGCATCACCTCAAGTGCCTCTAGGATTAAACGAAGGAAATTCGAATTGTCGAAGGAAAAGAATTCATCATATTTACAATTGAATTTAAAAAACTACTTTTCATTCACATTCACACATAATTTCGCAAGAAGACTCGGGCAGTTATGTCTCGTTGCCACTTTCTTTTTCTTCGTTCACAAATGCGTCCTGAGAAACTTCGACTGGACTTCGAGAGAAACTCTTCTTCGGTGAGATTTTCATAAGTTCTAATCATACATGATAACATATTTAATTCGAAACTTCCTTCGGGGATCTATTAAAAATGGTAATAAAGAGGCATCTACAAACAAAGATTGAAGGTCAATGGTAGAAATTTTTATCATATATATGACTGTAATTTACGTTTTCTGAGCATTGAATGAACTTTATCTTGTATAATGATCTATTTTGTTGAAATATTTGTAGTAGTGAATAATCTTTTCTTGCACCCTGAATCTATTTTTCTACAGAACCGATGAAAGAGAATTCTAATTATCATTGAAGTAATCATAAAATATCAAACAGGTGGTAAACAATTTTTAAATCCAATCGAAAAACAAGTTAATGAATATCATATCTATTCTGTGCTATCCATATTATTTCTAATTCAATAATCGCAATTAGGAAAAAGTTTTCTGAACAAAGTTTGCTGTGCCAGCTCCGGTTTAGCTGTGTTGCCGCACAACGCTAAGTTTCACTACAACTACGGCAACCTGATGAGAGAGCGACACGACTACGACCAAGCGGTGCATCACTACACTCAAGCCATCAGGTGAAGACTTTTTATTATTCAATAGAATTTTCAATGCTAGTTGAATACAATGCTGTAAATGTAGTGCAAAAATTGTAGAATAAAATATTCGAATTTATTTTCTTCAAACGCTTCAACATAAAAAACTTGTTGAAGGACTCCGCTTGACCACTAATATCTGAATGTGAATTTAATTTAAATGGCAGATGAATCGCTGCCATATTTAGGACTTTTCGGCACGTATAGCTCATCAAGCAATGTCTGCAGTGGCAAAATTTCTAAATAAATCAAGTGAATTTATCGGCTCTGATTCCAATGCATCATTACTTCAACTATTATTACTGAAAATAGAACCCACATATCTGCATATTATCAGCATTAAAGAATTTGGAGCCAATTCTAAGGAAGCTGAATGACATAAAAAATGAATTGAATAACAATGATAGCTCAGTTGTGTGATGCTTAGCAATGATGAACAAAAATATTTAAATTAATCTTCTTCAAAATATAGATAGATACCTTAATCTCATTTAAATTAAAATTCAATAACTCAATAACAAAAATTCAATAGAGTTATTCAATAAAATTCAAATTTAAATTCAATAGACTCAACAACAAAAATTAAAGCATCTTAGACCTTATTAGTTATACCTAATACATATATGTGAGAAAATTTACGCATGAGAAAAATTACGCAAAATTCCTAACAAGACCGTTAAGTAGAGGGATGTGAAAATGTGTAACTTTCTTCCGGGGATGGAAGTGATGAAATTGAAGGACCTTACTCATGTCAATATATTGAATAAAAAATTGTACTTTTCCTTTAACAAAATCGACGTACAAATAAAAACCCTTCTCAAAATTTTTGTCTCAGAATGTTAAAATTTTATTATAATGTGCGATAAAATTTAAATTAAATGACCCAGTTCGCGTTTTAATCCGAATCGAGAGTATGACATTGGTAGTGTTGAAATTTACCAGGTCGCGGACTCCATCATGCATGCACATAACAATAATTATCACAGATAAAATCTTCAAACTGTTGATCAGAGCTCGGTAAAATGCTACGTTATTACTTTAGATGTCCGATATACAGAGCAATTCATGTGCTCTTCAATAATTTTTTGAATACCTCATGTTATATTTTCCACAACGTTGGCCCTAGTAACTATTGAATATTTATAAATATTCTGCATCAATATCTGAAATATTCGAAATTAATTTCCTATTTTGTTTCTGAACAGTTTTTTAACTACTAAAATTCAGTGGTACAGGTTAGGCCCGCATTTCGAATAATAATAATCAATATATTAATATTCTTTCAGAATATTTAAGATGGAGAATCATTTTGGAATAAATTGTTTCATTCAGTGAGATACTGAAATTTTGTAAACTTTTTTGTCGATTTAATATCTAGTCTCCAAATTAAAGATTATTCTCAGAATAAATTATGATGAGCTCTTCCTCCGTAAAAATTGTCATGGGGCTAACTGTCTGCATACATGAGATCAATTAAAATCCATTGTATTCATTAACATTAGTTAATGTATAGCAGCAGACAAATTATGAATCTCGATATTACATCAAAAGTCTTTAATTATTGTTATCATTATTAGAAATAATTATTCATTCGTATTTCTTTCAACTCGCCTCTTTGATAAATTAAATTACTCGACCAAACATCTTGAATTTAATTAGTAAATTGAACGGAAAGATCGTTTGTTGTTTGCTTATTGTTCGGCATTGCAGGTAGATGTTTTTAATGACCAATATTTCTTCTCATTGCTCAGTAACAGCTAACTTCAATCAGTCACTATCATGCACAACAATATGTATTGTGCGTCTCGCATTTTTAGTGCCGAAACTGCTACTTCGTCTCGCATCAATGCGTCTTTAATAAACATCAGTCAAGTGCAGCCATTATTAGGCATTCACCAGCGCTGCGATAAATTGAACTGCTCTGTTCAGGTCCGTCAATGAACATTCGTTCAGTGGAGAATTAATGACCGTCAGCTTGCAGAAGTACATTCTCATTCTTGATTGTGCCGTCAATAAACGCATTATCATTGTTAAAAAAACGGTGAAAAAACGGTCCCACCGGCATCCTAGTGGCCGGTCGCCCCGTGAAAATAAACTGTTTCGCCGTTTTAATCAGATGTTTTACGGATTTCTGGTGTTAAATTGGAATAAAAACGGTGAAACGGTGTTTCTTTTTACGTGCCGACCGGCAACTGAAATGCCGGTAATACCGTTAACGGTCATTTTTCTAACATTATAACAGATCTTCTCATTAAACGGGTTAACGCCACAAATGCAGGACAGCAGGACTTCTCAAAAACAGAAATTTAGAACAATGAGTAATGACATCCACAATGTTTTTTTGTAGGAGAAATTGAAAGAATATCGAATGTGAAACATGAAAAAAATATCTAAATCATGAAAAATTAATGAGAGAAATTAAAAGTATTACTGACAATATTTATTCTAATCGCGTTTCCTGTAAGTATCAAGTAGAAACAACATTGTCTAACGTGAAGCTCACATTGAAGCGCGTATCACTTGTAAGAGACTTTTTGTGAGAAATCAATAATTTTCACATTCAGATATTGAATAATAGGAAAGCTGCGTATTTTTTTATTATGAGGAGTGGTTTAATATTTTGACTTAAAAGATTAATCAATGGCTGGGCTCATCGGACATGATGCCTCCACAGTAGAACTCGGCTGGTTTTTTAGCGCATTTTCTCATTTATGGAAAAAATGCACTATTGTGCTCGCCATGTCCGTCCGTCCGTCTGTCTGACTGTCTGTCCGTCCGTCTGTCCGTGACCTCAAGTTTTCGTCGACGAGAAAATGCGCTCTCTGTCACTCACTGCAGTGAGTACTGAGTTATATTTTTTTAATTAAACCATTGGAATAATTTCAACGTGTTGAATATGGCGAGGTTCGATCTTCGGTTATCGAACCAGCATACAATTAGGTAATTTTGTAAACCTTTAAAGTCAATAAAAGTTCTCCAGTGTTATTTGAATATTGAATGTTAAGAATAGAATCATTTTGTAAAAATTTTGCAGGTATATCCGCCGAAAAAAACAATCATGAGGGAAACATTTGACTGTTGTTCATCTTTTATAAATAATAATCCAATCAATAATTATCCAAAACTGCAAACCATAACTTCGAGTAACACTTTTGATCAAACGTACCCAATACACACAGTACCCAGTACCTAATACACGCGTTGTGCCAGGCTGTGGTCGCAGTACCCCAGTATCTAATACACGCGTTGTGCCAGGCTGTGGCCGCAGTACCCCAGTATCTAATACACGCGTTGTGCCAGGCTGTGGCCGCAGTACCCCAGTATCTAATACCTGTCTCTTATACACATCTAGATGTGTATAAGAGACAGCGACCAAGCGGTGCATCACTACACTCAAGCCNCCCCAGTACCTAATACACTCTGTCGTGCCAGGCTGTGGCCACAGTACCCCAGTACCTAATACACTCTGTTGTGCCAGGCTGTGGCCGCAGTACCCCAGTGCCCGCAACAACCTTGCTGCGGTTCTTGTACTGCAAGGCAAGTTGCCACAGGCCGAGCAGCAGCTGCAAATGGTGGTCCAGCAGTTCCCTGTCCATCAGAATGCCGCTCTCAACCTCGCAAAATTATATGCGTGAGTATAATTTAATTGGAATGTTTTGTAATATCATTTTTAATGAAGAACTTTTAAGATGCCTGAAGTATTATGCGATGAATTACTAAGAAATGAAAATTGATTTAATTTCAACAAAATGTCGTGGTTAAAATCAATTTAAGGACATTGCACTTTCAAACCTTTGTCGTCAAACTCCATTTAAATGTCATTCTAGTTTTAGGTAATGCTGGTTAATTGGGTAATGTATTAGATATCATGTCTGTAAAGAATATGGCTCTTTGTTCGGGGGATTGTTGAGAATGAAAACGCGTTGTAGATTGTAACGGTTTCTGAAAACAAAGAATGAACAATTTGAACACAAATCGAGGTTATTCGAGATTATAAACAATATAGAGAAAATAGCCAAGTTAACAAGTAATAAAAAGGATCATAACATAAGTAAATGATAACATACCGAATTGCTGAACAATCTCGGTCAAGTTTGGTTCAAAATGAATTTTGTCTGAGCTCATTAACTCTGGTCCTGCCTAAAACGTCCCAACCTTATGTATACGAGAGAAGTATGCCTAGTAAAATTCTTTACAATGTCCTTTTTGTAATTCCACTATCTGGTTCGACTCCTGCTAAGACAATTAAGTAGTAAATAAAACAATAAATAACAATATTAAATTAAAATAAAATAGAAAAAAACTTGATCGAAGTAATGGTAAAAAGAAACTGAAAATACTAAACATTTAACTACTTTCAGTATTTCAAGTCGTCTCTGGCTAATTTTATGCCACTATAGATTATGTTCCTGCATCTTGAGCTGATTGAATTTAATAGTTATATAGTCAAGTCTCTGGGTAAGCATAATAATAATAGTTCCGGCATTAGCACACTTTCGAAACGTTTGAAACCATCTGTCAGTCAAGTATACCTGTTATTAGGCTATCAAATGTACTGCACTTTCTTCGAAGCCGTGTCGGTGGCAGCAGGCATGGCTTTCTACATCGTTGGCGCTCCAAGTATGAACGCTTTCAAGAACAGACTAGATAAAGCTATGGAAAAATATATTTTCAGATTTGGAATGCCGAGTAGCACCATATCGAACCCAGTGGAAGTCGAGTAGCTATTTTAAACTATCGTCAGTCATAAAAAGATCCGGTCAAATGACACGATTTTAGATCTTCTGTGAACAAGGCACGAAGAGTACAAGAATCGGCGACAGGCCACATCAGGCCACACTTCAGCGCCGAGATCACTATGTTATGTTATGTTATGTTATGTTATGTTATGTTATGTAATGTTATGTTATGTTATGTTATGTAATGTTATGTTATGTTATGTTATGTTATGTTATGTTATGTTATGTTATGTTATGTTATGTAATGTTATGTTATGTTATGTTATGTAATGTTATGTTATGTCATGTTATGTAATGTTATGTTATGTTATGTTATGTTATGTTATGTTATGTTATGTTATGTTATGTTATGTTATGTTATGTTATGTTATGTTATGTTATGTTATATTATGTTATGTTATGTTATGTTATGTTAAGTTATGTTATGTTATGTTATGTTATGTTATATTATGTTATGTTATGTCGGCGAAGAGATGAGCTCAAGGCCTTTATCCCGATCTGAAATATCAATTAAAAGACGAGGTTCAGATGCGAGTCTGTAATAAATATCCTTTTCAAATTCATCGGGCTGGACGAAACACCAATTGAAATAATTTATTCAGTAAAAATTCCTAGATTCTCACGGTTACAAAAGGAAGCGATAGTAAAAACCCCTCTGACGTTGGCTGGCATTGGGTGCTGTTGTGCAGCCGTGATAATTCTCAAAAATTTATTTGAAATATGAAATATAATGTTCTTTGGCAGTTGCTTTTGTAATAATTATTCGTGACAAAAAACGAATTTTTTATCAATCCCAATGTGAAAATGTATGAGCTGCCGTAGATACCGTTTACAGTAGCTGCGACATAAGCGGCAGCTGCAGTTTTGTACAATTTAAATGGTTTATATTTTTTTCTGTTTACATAGGGATCACGTTTGAAGACATCATAATTTTTAGGCGCAGTTTCTCATGTATGAAAAAAGGCGCTATTGTGCACGTCATATCCGACCGTCCCTCTGTATGTCCGTCTGTCTGTCCGTCCGTGACTTCACGTTTTCGTCGATGAGAAAATGCGCTCTCCGTCACTCACTGCAGTGGGTGCTGAGTTTTATTTTTTTCACTATTTCCAAACATGTGGTTTTTCGCTTTAAGTCTGCTAAAAAATATGCAGGTGATAATGAGGCGCGGATCCATAACACTGTCGGTATCGGAATTTCATCATGACCTGAAATATGATATTAGGTTTCGCGACCTTAAAGCCTGGAAAAACCTTGCTCGATGAATATAGGAGAATAAATTTATGATAAGACACACTCAAATTATGAAGAACTTGGTTATTGATAAACTTTTATTTCATTTACATAATTCGTGTTGATAACTTGGAATTCGATATAGTTGATTAAATGAGCGATCTTTTCTAAATGAAGGCGTGGACGATTATTCCTCTAATTCTCATGACTTGGTTTAAGCATATCATGTAAGCGAGAGAAAAATTTGTTTTTCGCCAGATGAAAACCAAATCGGTTATAAAAGGATTTCAATTCATGGCTGACAAACCTGTTACTAACTGGTAAGTAGTATCCCGTGTTACATGTTGCTGCCACAAATTAATCAACCGGTTTTGTCAGCCAGAAGAAAGTTTGATGCCCATGCAGTAAAATTCGCTAATATACGATGCGTGTTTTTACATTATTTTTAAAGTTTTCTAAAAAAGTTTTCTATGTTCTAAACTCTAAAGTTTCCCGCCACCGTTTCGCACATGCGTGCCGTGTAGCTTGGCTACATCTGTGGGGAAGCCACTGACGCCATTACGGAACCTACCGATCGAGTCATTATTTTTTACATGATTTTAAAATGCTCCGACATATTGAGAATCCCGCTTACTGCGTATTGCGAGCGTTTCTCTGTGCTCAGTGTTTCGAATTGGTTAACATTCATTGTCAAATCAGTTGAGTGTAAGATAGTGAAAACATGACCACGTGGAATATGCGGAAATGTTTTAGGGCCTGTAACGATGGCCGCACAAACATTCATGATGAGGAACGATGGAGCTTCAGTCATTACCGATGATCTGATTGAAAAATATAACTCAGTACTCACTGCAGTGAGTGACAGAGAGCGCATTTCCTCGTCGACGAAAACTTGAGGTCACGGACGGACAGACAGACGGACAGACGGACATGGCGAGCACCATAGTGCATTTTTTCCATAAATGAGAAAATGCGCTAAAAAGGGGACTGTTAAGTGATAGAGAAGCGATGATTTCGTACTTGCTGGAAAGTTTCCTGCTGTCTCAAGAAGTGTTCTTTAGGAAAGGTTAGGTCTCCTCAGGTTACCTAATCTTCTTCTTTGACGATGGCTCACAAATCTGGCCTTACGATACAACAATTGCCTCAACTTTAAACTGAATTATGTAAAACAGTGGAGTATAGTATGGCTTTCCAAGTGAAAAAATCATATTTTGAAAATTTGCTCTTTGTTTTTAAGGTCTAATTGATTTTTAATTTAGAAAAACTCCTCGTAAAACTAAATAAATGTATAATAAAAAACTGGTGAGAAAGTTTTTAGGCTGAGAAGTAAGCATTTTTTTGTTTTGCAAATCGTGAGTTGTAAGGAATCTCTCGTTGAAAATCTTTGCCTTGATTTGATTTAAAATAATATATCATGCTTTGCTTGCATACTGATGCCGGTAAAAATGTGAAAAATTCTTATTTCGAAATCAATTTGGACTTATCTATAAAAAAAATGTTTGAATTTTTCGTTGCAGGAGGAAGCAGTGGTACGAGGCAGCCCGGCGAGTCCTGGAGAACGCCTTCCGCGTGGACGCAGTCTTCAGAGACCCGTCCATCAGTGAGCAGATGGAGCATTTGCTTAGCAGTCTTCAGCAACACGACCAGAAGATACAACTTGACGAGCATCGAACTACCAGTACTAGAAACATGGAACTCAATACCAAAAATTCTGAGAAGGGCCTCGAAAAATATTATGTATATACGAAAACTTCCGTGTTAGGGACTTGCGATTTAGTGTTTGAGTCTTCAATTAACTTTGAGAATTCTCACAGCTGTGACAGAAATAGCCCAACATTGTTTAGAGTATCTGGCACAAAAGAAAAAATGGCTTCAGCTATTAAAGCTCCAGTTCTTCTTTTTCAACGTTCATCTCATTTACGATGGGGCTCCCAATGATCAATAATAATAATTTAATAATAAAAATAGCGGTTTCAGCGTTTATAAGGCCGTAGGCCTGCCACCGATTCTTTAATCACAGAACATTCACAGTTTGTTGCGGTCCCCAACTCGTAACACACTGCTTCAATTTTGCTTTGTGTTTAACCTCCCGGTCAGAATCGGCCTACTCACCGATTCTGACCAGAAACTGGCGCATAGGCCTGCGATCGAACCCGCGTCTCTCTGCTCTAATACTGGTACTCGAAACTGTAACCACTGGGCTACCTTGCCCAAGCGAAAAATGTCACTCAAATGAAAATTGCTACTTATGTGTTTCAATTCGACAATTCACATATTTCGTGTGAAAAGTTTTCTAAGTCGAAGTTTAAAGTCTAAATTCTCATTTATATCGAAAATTTGCGAGCTTATTCCCTAACAAAATTCGGGGTATGCTTCAGCCTCTGCCCCAGAGTTGCTATGTTCGCGTTAGAGTTATTCTGGGTCAGTGGGCCAACTGATCGCAATCAGCGACTAGTCAGAACCTCCTGGCCGACTTTATGGTCTCCTGAGAGTAGGGCAAGAGTTGGCAGAATCTCCTCAGTCCCCTCACCAGGCTCTGGTAGCTGTCTGATTCGGGGACCGGAATGCAGACCAAAAATATAACTCAGTACTCGAATCACAGCAGTGAGTGACAGAGAGCGCATTTTCTCGTCGACGAAAACTTGAGGTCACGGACGGACGGACAGACGGACGGACAGACAGACAGACAGACGGACATGGAAAGCACAATAGTGCATTTTTTCCATAAATGAGAAAATGCGCTAAAAAGCGGACATAGAGAAGCTGATTTACGTTCGGTCCGAGTCCTAGGCGGTTCATAATTCAGGGTCGCCACAAACTAAAAATTTTTATAGGGTTCGACTACCTCGTCCTCGTCTTCTTCCCTAATAAAATTTAGAGGCATGTGTGACCCTGCATCAGGGCCGTCTAGGACTCTGGGAGCACATAAATTAGCTTCTCCTTGTCCGCTTCGGCTCAAGGTTCGAAGGGCAGCCTCTGGGCAGCTGGCTAGCTCGGTATGACTCGGCTCAGCCATCCCTTGTCACACTCTTAGGCGACTATAAAGTCGGATAGGAGATTCTGGCCTGAAACTGATTTCGATCGGGTGGCCAAGAAGACCCAGAATAACTTTGTGTCGAGTGTATAGTGACTATTCGGCCAAAGCCTAGTGGTCCCCGAGTTTTCTTAAGGTTCATTCTGTCCACTAGGGATGATAATTTTAAAATCACAGAATTGTTTTTTTCTACAATCAAAATTGTTAGGATAGTTGAAGCCTGCAAGCCGTGAATGTGTTCTTCGTTGAACATCATTCATCAAGAGAAATTACTTAAAATTAAATGCTTACTTTTTAGATTTCAAGCATAAAATCTTTTTAACTTCTTTGGAGGAGGGCAAGAAGCTAGCATGTAGCTAATTATTTCCAATAATAGAACATGTTATTTTATATGAGTATAAGCTAATCCATAGAGCGAAAAATGCAATTAAATTAAGTTGTGTATCTTATGCAGGATTAATTATGATTTGATTCTCACACGTTATCATTATCAACTTTACCACCATGCCTGGCTCTTCCAGAACTCGATCATCACCTTAATCCTTCCTAAAGTAATCAACACCTTTAATCCTACCTAGACATGATCACCTGCCTTACTTCTTACCTGAACGTGATCATTACCTTACTCTTAACTGAACGCGATCACCAACTTTACTCCTAGCTAAACAATATCATCACCCTTAGCCCTACCAGAACGTGATCACCACCTTTAATCCTATATAAAATTATAAACGAAATCACAGCCTACCCTCAGAAATCCTGGCCGCAGGATCGTATTATATCTGATGGCCTATTTACCTTATTTAATCATTGCTATATAAGGTACCGGTGTAACGCCCGTTTGTGAGGTTTGTAGAAAGTTATTATCTTCTCGGGAAATAAATTAAGTCTAGCACCTTCTCGCACATATTGATGTGTGTTATAGGAGGGAACATTGGCAGAATTATTTTTCATTCACGCCGTTAAACGAATAAATAATCTTGATGACAACAAGAAAATGTGTAAAGCTGCGAATGCTTAAACATTCAAACGATTCTTGGCAAGCATTCCGCGCGGCAGTGCAAATTAAAACGATCAATTTAATGAAGATCGGATAGTATCAAGGATGAATCGCCAAAAATTTATCCGTAAACTTCCAGTTAAGATGGAATGAAATTCTTGTGGCCTCGGACGTATGCCTCTTGCTTCACAGGTCCATGTTTCACTGACTTGAACAGTGAATAACATATGTGTTTTACCCATTATTTGCGGATGTTGCCACATATCTGACGCATTTGCAATAAATAAAGCTTGTACACTACAGTGTTTGAATGTCTTGAACGAAACTCATTTATGTTGCTATATTTTAAACACGTACGTTATTACCCTATCAAAATAGAGAGGCGATAGCGACCCTGCATTAGGGCTGCCTAGGACTCTGGGAGCACGTAAATCAGCTTCTCCATGTCCGCTTCGGCTCAGGGTTCGAGCTTGCTAACTCGGTATGACTCGTCTCGGCAACCCTTGTCATACTCTCAGACGACTATAATGTCGGAAAGGATATTCTGACCATAAACTGATTTCGATCGGGTGGCCAAGCAGACCCAGAATAACTTTTCCCCCGAGTTTTGTGTCTGTTCGGTCGGAGACGAGACTAGGCAGTCCTTGAATTTTGTTAGGGTAAATGAAATACTTTATTAATTTTTCTATGTTTCTAATAACGCGAGACAAATTTCAGTCAACAAAGAATAATTTTACTGAATTAAAATTTCTTCTTCATATACCGTGTTAGATTGATTATGACCAAACAAAGTACTTCAGAATGTTAACAGTTCAAATGAATGATGGCGTATTTTTTCAATTTAATCATAAATAATATATTTATACTTTCCATGCCAGACGTCAAAGTATTAATATTTTCATTCATCAATATCTCCCAGCTTTATTCTGAAATTTCGGATTTCATTTTCATATATGGCGATGGCGGTTGGCACTCAACAGCTGCATTTTCGACTATTTTTAATCTGATTAAAAACAATGCTTGTAAATCAAAGTAAACTGGTAAATTTAAATAATTTTCATTAATAAAACAATACTTTTACTTAATTAAACCGTACTTGTATTTTACTTTTCACTTAACTGCTAAACCTCAACACAAAATATTCCTGAAATACTGACCAATTGTTTGAGCGTTGTCAGTATGTATATAGTTTATTAGGAGAAAATTGTGTGCTCCGTAATACTAGATCTATTTTGAGATGAGTCTGACCCCTGAATTGTGTGTTCACATCTTCTACTATTGCGCATCGACATCTGAAAGACGTCTCAATAATATCATTTCAGTTATTCTACGATCAAAGATAAGAAACTACTTCTTTATAAAAAGTCGATATAAATGTATTGCTAATTCGTTAAAGGAGAAAATATTCAAATTTACAAATAAATTTCTATCGCTTGCACGGCCAATATACGAAGGATCTTTCAAAATTATTTTAGTCGACAGTAGACTGAGCGAAGGCTGAACATGCATACATCTGGCATACTATTTACTAAAGCATTATTTTATTTGTCTGTAAATCCAAATTGTTACAGAATTTTTATTTGATTGAAAAAATGATCCGATAATAAAACTTTCAAACAACTATCCGAATGTTTTATTTCCTAGTGAAGAAGCTCAAGATTCTATCATGTTATTACTAAAAATGGTTTTAAATGATCTGTCTTTCATTTTGGCACTGCAATAATTGGGGTAGTTTCGGTATCTTTCTGTCACTTATACAAGCTTCTTATTTACTCGTTAATTCTAGTTATTTTTGCACGTATCGATAGCCGATATAGCTTCCTTTGACTGCCTTATCTACCCCCATCCATCACTTGTTTTCTAGAGATATGTTGACTTAAATTAACTCATGAAGGTTGCAAAAATAACAAATTTTACGATCCGAATTATGCAAGTCTAAATTTTTAGCTGACTTTTAGGTAGCACCGGTTTTAATTCCGCGCAAGGTTGTTCATAAACAAAATGCATGGCTGAGCTGACAGTAATAGTTCAAGCATGTAAAACTGCGTGTACGACGCTTCTAGTCGAATTACAAAGCATAACGTTTTCTATCATATGCCATCGCTCTAACATACCCGCGTTGATACGTACGTCAGCATCCATGCCCCCAATACGTTAATACGTCATCATTCATTCCCTCAATACGTTAATACGTCACAACTTATCACAAATGCATCAGTTGATGCGTCATCACTTATCACATCCTTGCGTTGTTACGTCATTACTTGTAACTTCCATACGTTAATGCGTCATCACTTACGACATCAAAACGTTAAATACGTCATTATGTATCGTGTCAATGTGTTGCATGGTTTCATGCATAAAACAAGGAATATAATATATTGAGTTTTCGAAACATAATTATTTATTTATGTGAGTGTGGGAAGCTGAACGCTTTTGTGGTTTGTTGAACCCAAGGCGTTAGCCTTGGTTTTGGTTTGCTAACGCCTTCTGTGGCTTGCTAACGCCTTGAACCCGCGTAAAAAAACAAATAACCAATGCTTTAGAAACGAGGGAACAATTAGTTATACTTAAACCCGATCGCTAATCACTTCCGCCATGAAAAAGTTATTTAAATAACGAGTTTCACTCTACTATTCAACACTTAATTCGTTACCTTTTGATATTGTTGATTAAAAATGTTGACTGTGAGGAATAATTTAATTGTTAAGATCTTATCTCGGTATGTTGAGAAACCGTATGCACAAGAAGGCTTTCTGGTTCAGTAAAAATCTTAACAAATCATTTTACGTTTCAGAGTAATTTCTAATAATTATTTAGTTGATTTCAAACATTATATTGGGGCCAAACCATCATTCATATTTTCATAAAAATCGTGCTTCCGTTCTAATTTATTTGTCATTATCTTATAAACATATATTTCTCTAAATTATATTGCTGTATATGGTTGTGGGTTTAAAGCTGGGCTTATTAAATAACAGGGCTCTTCGAAGGTAGTTCA